CTGAGGGTAAAGGTGATGGATTGGCCAAGCATGTCTCCAGACCTAAACCCTATTGAGCATCTCAAGGTCTCTAACATCCACCAGCTCCGTGATGTCGTCATGGAGGAGTGGAAGAGGACTCCGGTGGCAACCTGTGAAGCTCTGGTGAACTCCATGCCCAAGAGGGTTAAGGCAGTGCTGGAAAATAATGGTGGCCACACAAAATATTGACACTTTGGGCCCAATTTGGACATTTTCACTTAGGGGTGTACTCACTTTTGTGGCCAGCGGTTTAGACATTAATGGCTGTGTGTTGAGTTATTTTGAGGGGACAGCAAATTTACACTGTTATACAAGCTGTACACTCACTACTTTACATTGTAGCAAAGTGTCATTTCGTCAGTGTTGTCACATGAAAAGATATAATAAAATATTTACAAAAATGTGAGGGGTGTTCTCACTTATGTGAGATACTGTATTTGTTATATTTATTTTCATGTATCTTTTTACCACATTTAACATTCTACTGTATATTTTACTATTAAAAGTACCAAATGTGTTTGACCAAATGTTAGACTAGCTTTGACTGTTTCTTTAGATATTTGTCAGTCTACATATAAGAGTTTTTTGTTTATTAATGTTATTTGCATGTCAGTGAAGCAGTGACTCAACTGATTTGTAAGTCGCTTTGTATAAAAGTGTCTGCTAAATGAATAAATGTAAATGCAACACAAACACTAAATGGTTTACAAATGAAACGAAGAACATGAATGAACATGATTTAGTTTTGCGTGCCTGAACATTGAATTTAATCAAATGTGTTTTCCAGGTTACACTCCAGCTTTGGCTTGCGCCCCAAACAAAGACGTGGCCGACTGTTTGGCTCTGATCCTCTCCTCCATGATGCCCATCTCTCCCAGCAGCACCGGCACCATGTCCAGCCTCACCTTTACCACCATCAACCACTACTCCAGCCCATCCAAGACCGTGACCTTTGACCCTTTACCTGTGCTGCGCTCCAAGCACGTCTCCTACCGCAAATTCAACAGCCTTGGCCGCGAGGACGGCCTCATCATCCCCGATGACGAACTCAACGATTCAGACTCAGAAACGTACTGAAAACACACCCCCTCCCGCCCCTCAGTGTCTTAATCTAACACCTCATTGGCTGAAAGGTGACTATATGCTAATTAGGGTCGTCCCTTTATGACCGGTGTGGCCGAAGTCTCAGGAGAAAGTGGAAAAACAGGAAAATAATGCCACAGAAATGGCCCACACTACAGTCCAGTTTGTTTATTCTCTACAGTATCGAGCTGTTTGAACCCTCAAGCATGACTAAAACTCATTATTTTAAAGCCAAGTTCATTTTATGAGAAGCAAACGGCTCATATTGACAGCTGTGGGACTGTAATTCCCAGCATTCATGTGAAACACGAGGAGGCGAAACTAAACTAAAGACGTCAGGGACCAAGAGCTGCAGACTCTACTTTTATCCCCGTTTGTGCATGAAGATTGGATTTGGGTTTGCATCACCATGGATTATTTATTATGAAAAAATGAAGAGCAAAAAAAGCCTTTCAGGCTTCAAACGGAGTATTTATTCCTCTGCTGTTGTGAGGAATTATAGCGTTCTTCCTGCTGTGTGTGAGAGAGATTGTGAATTTGAATGTGTGTGTGTGTGTGTGTGTGATTATTTTATAAGAGTTTAAAAACAATGAAAAGATCAGGTGTGTGACTTGACCTTTTGGTACATTGTTAGCAATTATTAATAATTATAAATAAATCATTTTTGCCATAAGATTCCACGGAGTCTTTATTTATTACAGAAAATTGGCACATTTAAAAAATGTGAAAACATGGATGGGCGGAGTTTGGTTATTAATATGTTAAAAGAATATACACAGGGTGTCTGCAGGTCCTTTAAAATTCTTAAAATGTCTTAAATAACGTTTTCCTAATAAAAGGCCTTAAAAAGTTTTAAATTCGGATTCGATAGGTCTTAAATATTTTTGGTCACATTACCGCTAAAATATCTTCAGTCTGACGGACCTAATGACTGTTTACAATCATTGGACAGACCGAAGATTTTTTCTTCTCAGAGGCTCACTCTGTTTGTTTCGAGACTTCAGAACAAATTAGCGTGACGGCACACATAAACTCAGAAGAAACACACTGAGGTAAAAATTCAGAATGTTTAGTTTATTCATAACATGATATGGTTAAGTAACACAATGACAAGTGAGCTATTTTGCTCAATATTCTCATAATACAAAAAAAACATTGAAAACACCTACAGAGTGCACGCATTATGTGAAGTCTAGTGCGCGTGCGCATTTACAGTGCGCTCTTTCACTGCGTGATTCAGTCTATTAAAATACATTCAGAATGATCACAAATTCAAGACATTGATTTTTTACAACAGTTCAATAAACTAGAAGTTTTATTAAGAGACTTACGTTTTAGACACCATATTGCCTGTTTTTACACTATTTCGCCAACAAAAAATTATTCCAAACAAAGTCACAGCGCTGTGAGTGTCACGTAATGGCTACGGAGGTGGAACGAGGAGACACAGGAGTAAACTCAGCAGGCAATGGAAAGGGAGCTTAGTTCATCGTGCCAGGGCAGAGTGGATGGAGGGAGGAGCCAGGAGCCAGATGGCAATCCAGAGGCCAGCCAGGATAGCGGCCCACGGTGGAGTCGACGGCGGGAGGAGCCATGGTGGAGATATGGCTGACCCCACCAGGGGGCCGACTGACGGAGACTGAGCTGATGGAAGAGGAGCCCATGATGGAGCAGAGCAGACGGAGAGCCAGGGTGACAGGCTCAGGCTCTCCGTCTGCGGTGGGCTCAGGCATCTGCTCCGTGCAGTGGGATGACGGCTGGCTGGTCTCTGGTTCGTGAGTGGGGCTGTAGATGTCCTCCTCGGTGGGGCAGACGGAGAAATACAGTCCATTTCTCTCCAGCACCCACTCCACGAAAGCGGCGAAATCCTCCTTGGGACTATTCGCTGGTAGGCGTGCCTTACACCGCTCGCTCAGGCTGGTGTGATAGAATATGCAGAGCGAGCGATCCGGGAAGTGTGTAAGGCACGCCAGATCTACAAAGTCCCTGGTATGGTCCTCCAGCGAACGGTCCTGTTGCTCCAGGCACAGGAGTTGAACGGCAGGGATTGCCATTCCGGGAGAGGGGAGAAACATAAAAAAAAGAAAGAAAAACGCCGCTAATCTTACTCACTTTGAGGGTCTGCTATTCTGTCACGTAATGGCTACGGAGGTGGAACGAGGAGACACAGGAGTAAACTCAAAATATAGTCTTTTTAATCTTCGCTTCGGGGAAATACAGGGCAGACAGACACTCACGTAGCACATTGGGGAATCAACTCAATAGCAGACAACGGAATCATGGAGAACACAGGTTTTAAATACTGGAACGTAATCAGGGAGAAACAGAAACAGGTGTGGAGCTAATTAATCAAAAACCATGGAAACAAACAAGGCAGGAGAAAGGAGACACAGCAAACTAAACCAAAACAGATCATAACCATAACAGTGAGCAACATGACAGCTTTTTGTTCCTGAATGAATCAAATGATTCGGTTCAGTCGCAATGACTCACTTATTAACAGTGACTTGCTGCCACCTACTGGCGGGGTTAATTTCACATTTAAAGTAACTTAATTTTTTTAATCATTTCAAATATCAGTATTCATTTTTTTATGTTTAAAATATCAAATTATTTATGCATTTGTAACTGCAGGTTAAATGCATTCATGTTCTGCATTAAACAGTGTGTAAATACTTCTAAATGCCAATTCAGGTGCAGCTTATGTCTGGATTGCAAAGATGAATTTTGTTGATACTGATTTCATTTGCTTGGTAACAGCCCAAATGTCTTATTCTTATTCACTGATTAAATGTACGAATTTGACTCAATAGATAATGCACACTTATAAAAAAAATGGCTTTATAAAGGTAAAATGCCCATAAAAGGTAAAAATCAATTTAAACTTATTAGAAAAGATTATTTTCTATCTGACCACCACACAGAATATGAAGAATATGAAAAACTTTAGGAGTCAGCTGTCCACTAAGGTCCTTAAGATACCAGCATGATAACACACTCAATCAGTTGAATGAATGACTGCATTAGTGTCTTACCGCCACCTACTGGTAGTTTAGTTGAGAAGTATGTTGAAAAATATGCATTTTTCCCCTAAAAATTTCTTATTTGTATATTCATAAATGCATTTAAAACATTAATCTCATAACATTATTTATTGCAGTTGTAATTATTGTTATTTGCAGTGTAAATTATTTAATCTGACTGGTAGCAGCCTTATAGTGTATGTTGAATTTGATAAATTGTAATAATTTGGTTAAAAATAGACCTTTGTAAAGGTAAAGAAAAATATGCAGATTTAAGTATGTAAAAGCTGATAGAACACTGAGGAAAATATTGCTTCAGAATAAATTGTTTACTCCACCAAAAATCTCATGCAGTTATTTTGCAGGGATATTTTGTATGGAATATTGTCTGCTGGCATGAAAAGTTCACTGTATATCGTAGTAATAAATATAATTTATTACAGCAATGATATTTTGTTTTCTTTTTAATTTAAACACATTAAATATTACATATATGTATGCAATAAAATGTGTATTTCCATTACAGGTTTAGGTCTTAAAAGTCTTAAATTCAACTTGTTCATGTCTGTAGAAACCCTGTATACAGTATAAGAACATAAATTAATGTGCCTACAAGAAAACATTTTTATTCATCCAATCCTAGTCTTTTAAATCCATTTACTGATTATTTTTTTATATTTGTATAAATGTATTGTTATACAGGGTTTGTACAAGGTGCTTAAAGTGCTTGAAGTACTTGAATTTGACTTTTTGAAATTGAAGTCCTGGAAAACCTGGAAAAAAAAAATCTTAAAAATAGTATTAAAATATTGTCTCATTCTAGTGAACCAAGTATCTGTATATCTCGTGAGCTAAGTGTATTGTCACACACCCTAGTGTTGATAAGCGGTGATAAAGCTTATAATTTCCTAAGTGTATGATACAACTTTTATTCTTCAGGTCAATCATACATTCATGAAAAAAAAATCTCTTTGAATAAGGAAAGCAATAACTTTGCCATAATATCCTTTCGAATGTTAAAGTTGCCACAGTCATTGCATGCTTTTGTGCTGCACTTTATTTGTACCGTTTTGTTTTATTTGTTTTATTAGTTTATTAGAATTTTAAAGATGATAACAATATTGTTTGATAAGTGAGATCTCTGATTTTAGTCCTTGAAAACCCAAAAAGTAGTGCTTGAAAAGTCCTTGAAAGTCCTGGAATTTCATTTTGGAGTTTCTGAACGAACCTTAACAAGATTTATTTTTGTATGTAAATGCCAGTCGAAAAATTTGTGTCTCTTTCGCTGTTATTAGTGAGTAATTTGAGCGAGTTTTCATTAAAAACACTGAATAGTTTACAAATGAAACAATGACCGTGAATGAGAGGTTTAAAACTGAACTCAATCTTATGACTGCTTTAAAAAGTTAATTTTACTCCAAAATGAAAGTTGCGATATCATTTCCTCACCCTCATGTCATTCTTGTGCCAAAGAGGACGATTTTTAGCTAATAATACCTTACATTTAAGTCTGTTTCTCACATAAAGCAATTGTAAGATTTAAATGGGTCACCGGATGCTACATGTTGTTTGAACTGAAATGTGTGTTGGCAGTGTGTGTACACAACTCACATAGCCAGACCTTCAGACTCGCCCTCAGAGCTGAAGGTCTGGAATCCATGGCAGCTTTCATTGGCTAAGGCCCGCCCATGAGGCCGTTTGACCGAAATGTCAAACAACCAATCACAGTTAGTTTCGTTCAGCGTCACGTTTCGGGGCGTGGAAATGTCGCCACAATAACAGACCGGTGTGTAAAACTCTCTGAGGTATTTTAGAGATTCTATGCCGCGAACTTTTAAATATTTCACATACTTTTGAAAATACAGCATTTAGTTGATCCTGATAAGCGCTCGTCGTCACAGTTGTAAACATGACGGCTTTCTTTTTTCGTGAGTGGGTTTGGCGCCACGGCATCTTTGTTTCCAGGCGGAACGTTAAAGAACGCGACACACACATCTCCCAGAAATACTGTATAATTCAACCAATCCGATGACGACTTCGAAACTCCTGAAGTGCTTCCACTTTTGTGTGCCGTATGCATCAGACGGTCAGCCAGCGGTCCGTGGGCGTGACGTCTGAGGCTGAGACTAGATTGACAGTGGCGTTTCAGCACAGACTGGACTGGTGTTTTACCTTAGCTCCGCCCCTGAGTGCTCTAAAAAGAGCTGTTTTTGACAGGGTAAAAAGGGTGTTGTTTTACACTACCATTGAGAAATTTTAACCAAACTATGTTGCAGACTTTAAATGGGCATCCCATGACCCCTTTAATTACCTTTTATGTTCCCTCTTTCTCACGCTCTCTCAACCACACAAATGCAGAAACATCACATGTAGAGAAACTTCTTGTCAGCGCTGACTTAAGTGATGAAATAGTTTTGCAGCTCAAAATCTGTGACATTTCTCTCTCTCTCTCTTATCAATTCAATGTGCTTTATTGGCATGACAATTATTACAATGTATTGCCAAAGCATAGTGTTTGCATTGAATCTAGAACAGATATACATTTAAAGAAAAAAAAAACACATGCATGTGTATACATTTAAAAAGCAGAACAAATCAGCATTTTAGAATTCAATGAACAATATAAAATTCTGTGTGTGTGTGTTTGTGGGTGCTTCACTGATTTGTTGACTCCCTCTTTTTGTGACAGGCATCAGTGTACTGTATCTTGCTGCTAGTAAGATACAATCTCTCTTTTTCCCCATAATAAATATTGTAGTTGTGTTTTATTTTTTAACATTTTGAAATCAGGGCAAAGTATTTCAAATTTTGGATAAAATTTCTTTCTAATTTCTTCATAGTTAGGGCAGCTGGAGAGGAAGTGTTGGTCTGTCTCACTTCTCCATGGTTACAGTATGGGCAGATGTGGCTCTCTTTGGGCAGCCAGTTCTGTCGATATCTGCCCGTCTCTATAGTAAGAGTATGATTGATCAGTCTGTTCAGTACCTTGTCATTCGTCTCTGTCGATATCTGCCCGTCTCTATAGTAAGAGTATGATTGATCAGTCTGTTCAGTACTTTGTCATTCATCGTCTTAATTTCCAGTCTTTCATTGTACTCAGATATTCTGCAGTGGTGTAATTTCTGTTTAGGGCCAAATAACATTCAAGTTTACTTTGTTTTTCTGTGGTTTCAGTCCAGTAGTCCTGATGCTGACTGTTGTTAGTCATGTTAGTTTGTTTTTGCAGCTTCAGGACCATCTGAATCGGGACTTAATGAACACTTTTTTCAGTGTTCATTTAAGGGCTTTAAAATGGTAAGAGTTGGGGTCACTCATTTTTTGGTGTTTCTAAAATTTAATGGCTCGTTTCTCAATGCACATTAGTAGAGGATATTGGCCTAATTCTGCCCTGCATGCGTTGTTCGGTGTGTTCCTCTGTACTCTGAGGATACTCTTACAGAACTCAGCATGCAGGGCTTCAATCGGATTTTGTCCCATTTTTCAAATTCGTGGTTTAGGAGAGGACCCCACACTTCACTGCTGTATAATGCAATAGGTTCTATGACTGATCGGAATATTTTGAGCCAGATTCTGATTGGTATTTCAATTTGAATAGATTTTTTGATGGTGTAGAAGGCCCTTGTTGCTTTCTCTTTCAGTTCATTCACAGCCAAATTTAGCTTCCCATTTGCCCAAGCTATGTGTATTTTGTGGCATATTCAATTTTGGTCATACCAAGGGTGAAATTGTGTCTCTTTCCCTGACATCTGGGTCTTTTCTGGAAAGCTAGTACTTTAGTTTTGTTAGGATTAATAGTCATGGCCCAGGTCTGACAGAACTAGTGCAGGATGTCTAGGTTCTGCTATAGACAGCAGGATAAGATCATCCGCAAACAGCAAGAACTTTATATTGGAGTTGTGTAGTGTGAGGTCAGGTGCTGTTGATTGTTCCAGGAGTTTCGCCAATTCATTAATGTAGATATTGAAGAGTGTCAGTGAGAGTGGGCAGCCCTGCCTTACACCCCGCCCATTAGTAAAGAACTCCGTTTGTTTATTTCCAATTTCAATTGCGCATTGATTGTTTGAATACATTGTTTATTGTATGTTTTACCCCCAATACCTGATTCTAGAAGTTTTGACAGCAGACCTTCATGAATATTTCTCATGGGGATTGAATAAGTTTTGACTTTTCAGTCTGAGTTCTATCTATTTGTTGGCTCATTTTACCTGTAAACGAAACGTGCCTAATAATTATGCACACCTGAATATAGGGATTTTGTCACTTCCAGCCTTCATGGACAATTATATATCACTTATAAATTATTAAATACTAAATTAATAGTACTTATTAAGATTGATGTGGTTTACAGGAAAAGATTGCATCTAGATCAGATACAGTCCTTGTGTACCTTGCAACTGGCCTGACCTCCATTGTATGTCTAGAAGCAGTTTAACCTGTTGCAGGACAGGTATTGGCCAATTCTTTCCTGGTTGCTGCATAATAGACAGTGCAGGGCGAGCATATTGCCATCACTAATGAAAGAAACTGTGGTTCATTGAGTTTCTTGGTGGAGAATCAGATGCAATATCCAAGAAGAACCTGCAAAAATAAAAACTAGACATTTTGAATCCAAAGGATCATGAAGATTTTGAGGAGCAGATGGGGTTGAGACATTGTTTTAGGCCATGTATGATTCCATACCCCTAATACTTGGCCAAAGTTACTTTTAGCAAATGTACTCATTTAAAACTTAGTAAATTGATCAGAAACATTGACTACTCATCTTGCACTACAAATTTTGTCCAATCAAATACTTCCTGAAAATACCCTTGCATCTAACTGCTAAAAGTAGCAGATTATGGTTCAGTGACATAATATGACAATTTGTTCAGAGGACATTTTCCTGGACTCCAACGATTCTAAATCTACACTAGAGACAAAAAGAAAAAAATGAGTTATATGCTAGAATCAAACCTTCTGGATGCATTAAAGTTGCTTTTCACAAAATCATTAAAGGGCCTCATATGCTATTTTGGAAAGAAGACATGATTAGCAATGCTTTGGAGAATCTGAAAAAAATATACGTAAAAGACAGGCAAAAGTATAATACTTTCCAGTAGATCATTGCTATCACAATGATTTTAATTAGAAAACGACACAATAAAGAATACAAAAGTAAACCTTTCAACAGGTTTACACTTTAGGAAAGGATATTATAACGAAAGAAAATATGTGAATTACAAAAGGGAAACACTACAGACCACTGCAAAATTATCAGTTTCTCTGGTTTTACTAATGATAGGTATGTTTTTGAGTAAAATTAACATTTTTATTTCAGAAGTCAGAAAGAGCTTTTTTGCTAAGTATGTTTACACACAAAAGGAATGTGCATTTCTTTGCAGAAAATACGGATCAAAATAAAAAAAAAAAAGATGCCATGTTTTCAGACCTCAAATGCAAAGAAAACAAGTTCATATTCATGCACATAAGCATTAATTAATTACATTAATTTATATAAACAACAAAATACTAATGTTTTAACTTCGAACGAGTTCGGAAATCAATATTTGGTGGACTGACCCTGATTTTCAATCACAGCTTTCCACCAGTTTCTCACATTGCTGTTAGGTGACTTTATGCCACTCTTGGCACAAAAATTCAAGCAGCCTGGCTTCTTCTTGATCACATTCCAGAGGTTTTCAGTGGGGTTCAGGTCTGGAGATTGGGCTGACCATGACAGGGTCTTGATCTGGTGGTCCTCCATCCACACCTTGACCTGGCTGTGTGGCATGGAGTATTGTCCTGCTGGAAAAAACAATCCTCAGAGTTGGGGAACATTGTCAGAGAAGAAGGAAGCAAGTTTTCTTTCAGGACAACCCTGAATGAGACTTGATTCATGCACCCTTCACAAAGATGAATTTGGCCAATTCCAGCCTTGCTGAAGCTCCCCCAGATCCTCCACCAAATTTCACAGTGGGTGCAAAACCACTGTAGGCCTCTCCAGGTCTCTGTCTAACCATTAGACGATAAAGTGTTGGGCAAAGCTGAAAATTGCACTCATCAGAGAAGGTGACCTGACTCCAGTCCTCTACGGTCCAATCCTTATGGTCTTAGGCAAAGCTCAGCCTGGCTCTTCTTCTTTGCTTCTCATTGATGAAGGTTTTTTTCTAGCTTTGTACTGTTTCGAACTGTTCTCGCTGTGCACTTCACCCCAGCTGCCGTTTGCCATTCTTTTTAGGTCACATGATGTGATCCTATGGTTGTTGAGAGTGATTTTCACCCTCTGCTGGTCTTCAGCTTGACCTTGTTCTGTCTTTGAAATTTTATGGATGGAAGCAACCCGACACTCGCTGTATCCCTCTGCCAGTTAAGACAGAACTGAAACATTCATTTCCTCACTCAAAACTTTATATCATTGCTATCACAATGATTTTAATTTGAAACAACACAATACAGAATACAAATACACAGAATGCACAGTGGTGGTTTATATACTTTTCCTCGTTATATAAGATTTGATTGAGGTGATCACCTAATCATTATGCAGGTGTGTCTGTGTTGGAATTCAACAGACACTGGAAATGGAATGGCTGCCATACGTGATGCTGATTTCAGAAAATTTGGAGTTGTCTCTTAAATTTTTCCAGAGCTGTAAATGAGGATGAGTACATAAATGATGACAAAATTTTGATTTTGGGTGAACTATCCCTTTAAGAGAAAGAGACTGACAAAACAAATGATAATAAATGCATTCACTTCCATCCTTCAGTGAATATATCTCTTCTCCACCTCTTGCAAGGTTGTTGATTTAATGCGTAATATTCAAATAAAAGCCCAAGATCACGTCTGGCATTCACACTTACATCCTTCTAGAGAATCGACAGACACTGAGAACGATCGCCCGTGGCAAACGGTAAATATGACACTATATTATATATAAATTATATTATATATACACTATATATACTATATTATATATATATATATATATACACTACCGTTCAAAAGTTTGGGATCAGAACGATTTTTTATGTTTTTTAAAGGGGTTTCTTATGCTCATCAACGCTGCATTTATTTGATCAAAAACTACAGGAAAAAAATTTAATATTGTGAAATATTATTACGGTGTAAAATAAAGTTTTTTTCTATTTTAATATACATTAAAATCTAATTTATTCCTGTAATGCAAAGCTGAATTTTCAGCATCATTACTCCAGTCTTAAGTGT